TATGTGAAACCAAATGGAATAGGTTTTCTTCCTGTTGTTCCACGCTCTTGATCCTATCTGAACCACTTGATGTAGCGGAAGTTTTCGATCGACACACACGCCCTATATGCCCTTGTTTACCACATTTCTGACAAACACTCTGTATGTGACGACATTCTGATGGCGTACTGTGTTTGGCCCCGCATCGATAACAGGTAAACGTGTGGGACGATTTGAACATCTGTGTAGATTTACCCGGTGTCAGTGCTTGAACAGTTTCCGGTGATTCCTTTTTGTAATAAGTGAGCTGTTTGGTTACGTTTTCGTGTTGACGGACAATACCGCAAGCTCTCTCCCAACTGAGTGCACCGTCATCCGTCTATAGCAGTCGTTCCCGAGCTTTATCGTCCCAGACTCTTGCCAGTAAGCACTGAGTTGCCATGACTTCTTCGAACTTGGATGGTGGTAACTCGTGATAGCGGCAATCTGGAAGGGTCCGCTGAATACGTAAAATGAAATCATCAACCGTCTCCTCCGGTTGTTGGTGCAATTTGTGTAATGCAAAACGGGCGGTATGCACATGCACTCGAAGGCTCCAAAGTCCGTCAAGAGCTTTCAATGCGTCATCCAGAGAATTATTCTCATATATACCTTCCGAACCGAGATGTTGTCGAAGTAACTTGATTTGCTGATCCTCTGACAGATGTATGCTGGGGTTCAGGGTCAAAAGTAATTCAATGTAGTCAAAAAATTTACGTTTCCATCTGCACCAAACATTCATTGATGGTTTGTTTGCCGTATTGGGCCACAAAGGTTCCACAGTTTGTGTAGAGAACATGATTAAGATAGCACAACAGTTTATTCCCGTCGCCAAATGTTAACCCGTAGGACAGTCTTAATGAACTTCATGATTGGTCTGTGGCCCGATCCTTTAAATTTAGCATCAGTAAGTGCATCGAAAATCCATTTAGTCCCAAAACCGGTCTCCGTTATTTTTCATTGGTTGATAATCTCCCTGATCTTAGAATTAACAATCAAAGCGTTCCCAAATCTGCATCTGTTAAATACCTTGATGTCACCCTTACCCATAACCTGTCCTGGTCTGCTCATCTCAGCAACGTTTTGACTAAAGTTCGAAAACTGTCCTTCTATGCTTACAGGCTCAGGAAACTGGCCGTACCGCATAATCTTATTATTAAATTTGTGATTGCCTGCATTCTTCCACACTGGCTATACTGCTCCCCGATTTTTATCCCCGAACTGAAAGAAAAAGACTTCTCTTTATTTTCAAGATCCTTTAAACTTTTATCCCGCTACAGTGGAGTTGATAAAACTGTTTTAGTTGATTTGTTTATTTCCAAGTATCTTGACGCTTGTGATACATTCATTGACAGGATAACGCATGATCAAGGGCACTGTCTGCACCAAGATATCGCGAAAGCCCTGTCAATTCCCCGGGCACGCTCCAAATATCAACTCCTTCCTGCGCGGACTTCCACATATCGAAACAAAGTAATTCGTCACCTAGCTCGTTTACTAGTAAATCGTCAGCATATCCTCACCCACCTCAGGGAAAAACTCTTGTCCTAATTTTTTCTCTCACTTATTAAAATGCAGAATTTCTCTTACTGTATCTTTTTGTTTACAATTATTTTATCTGTCCACTGAAAACTCGTAAACTGCTGAAACTTCACCTTTTGGGTGCATAAACCTTTTCTTGACTTGACTTGACAAGAAGAAAGGTCAAGATGCGGTGGATGGGAGGAGCCGTTTAAAATCTTATTGGCAAAGGGCAAACAAGACTTCATATGCCCATTAAAGATGCACTGCTTATTATCATCATTCCACGACGGATCGGTTTAAAGTCTTGTTTCAGTTGACTGGGCAATACTACAAGGGAGCAGTAAAGTAAAATAGGGAGAACTCCTTGTTTAACAAATGGAAACAAAACTTGTTGGGGAATGCGAAATTGTTTGAGCTTCCGGAGCTGAAAGGAGAAGTGCCGAAGTTTCCTCATACAGTTCTGAAAGTGTATCGACCACCAAAAATTTATATCGGTAGTAACAGTCAGATATTTGGCTGAGGTCACTCTAGACAAAAGGTTACAATTAAAGGTTACAGAGTCTAAGGGGAATGTAGAGCGGCAAGAACTAAAAATTCCATTTCACCTGTTCGCCGAGTTTGGCAATTTGTTTGCAAATGTTTCATCATCAGCCGAGGTGACATCTTCAGTGCTTGTGAATTGGCCTAAAATGCACACCAAGCACTAAGATTAAGGCCAGGCTAGTTTGGAACTTGTTCGATTCGGGACAGATTTTCAGTGAAGGAGGAAAATTGTGAAGAAGAAGAAACGGCTCAGTATAAAAATACCTCGTCAGTATATTTTTGGACATGGGCAGGGTGTGGAACTGAAAGATCACTAATGAAAGCCGACAAAAGATACGGAACGAGGATAGCACCCTGAAGCACACCGGAAGTATTGACTAGAGGTCCTCCTGTCCAGCTTTGTACCCTGGGTTCTTCCGGTCAAATAATCAGAAAGCCCCGAAAGCAGATGTCTGAGGGGGGGATGCTGAAAGATTCAAGCTTAAAAAGGAGGGATGGCCGAGTCACAGAATCAAAAGCAGACGAATAATCCAGAAAAACGGAACGGACAGATTTGGCAGAACTGTTCAATGATTTGCTTATGAAATGAACCAAAGTAGACATAGCATCAAATTAGATCTGTTGGTTTTATAAGCGAACGGAGAGAATCATGAGCAATGAAGATAAGTGAGTGTAAGCGACTCAGGATGTCTTTCTCAGTCAACTTTAAACAACAGACGTCAATGCGATGGGACGGAAACGTTTTGCAAGAACGGCTGTAGATGAGGTGTTTGGAAAATTTATAATGGTCACTGGTCGCCATGACTCGGGGATCATCTGTGCAGAAAGAGGCTCATTGATGAGGGATGTTATCATCCTAGTTAGAGGGGCTGTTCCAAACTTGAAAAACCCTGGAGAAAGACCATCACAGCCGGCAGACGACGATGGCTTGAAGGAACATAGAAGCTTCGAAATTTCATCATTGGCAAAAAGGAACAGATCAGAATTAGATAACTCATATGGGAAAGAAGGTATCTGGTTATCGTCAAAAAGATGAAGAAATGCAGCGTTAACATCCTCATCACTGTGCACGTTTTGGTCCGAAGAGAACACGAATTCCTTGCCATAGGAGCTTTCTGTTTTTCGTTTGCAGGATTTGGAAAGCGAAAGTCTTGTTTAAACGTGTAATCTCAGCCCTGATTAAGTTAGAATAGTATTTTACATTGGATGGATGGAGAGATTTATAATAACGTTCCTTTTTCCTTCGTAGTGAGTTCAAACGAGGAGATGCAATTTTGCCGTTGCAAACAAACGGCGTTTCCAAGGGACAGTAAATATGAAAAATTGATTTCATCGTTCCGGTGAAATGACTGACACAGATAAGAAAAGACGAACAGGAAGTAAACAAAGTTTGAGCAACAGTTAGGGAACGACAGAGAAGAGAAGTGCGGGTTTATGAAATGTCACGGAGATGAAACCTTCTGTGGTTTGATCGTATGAACTTTGTATAGGCAGAGCGGGAGTAGATCTTTGGTCTTAAGAGGAGAAAGCAATGATCCTTGGTAGTGACCGGGGCCATTAGTTTGAGAGAAAAACAGCGTCGCGTGTGCAGTAGGGCAGTCCAAATCGATGTAGCTCTTCTGAGAGAGGAAACTTATGTTGCTTCATACTTCCGAGATGACAGTAGCCAATGATGTGAGACTCGTGACTTCTCTGAATACGACTGTCTGGGTTGAGGAACATGTGACTGGTGCAACTAGTAGGGTAGCGTAGTACCAAATATTTTGATTTGGTTCTAAAATGATGTTGTTAGTGATGATGGGTGGAACGGATAACTCACTTGTGTCTAGATCAATGTTGAACAATGCTGTCCTCCATCCTCCAAGGAGCACCCTGGAACGGCGAAGTTACGCCTTACCAAAATTTACAATATCACTATTTGTAGTTCGACTACTTCAATCATTTAAGTAGTTTGCTTACAAATTGTCAATTCTATTCACTGCACTGCATTTGACATCGATAATAGAATGAAAGAACCTTAAGGTTGAACGACTGAGTACAGAAAATCCACTCATTATTTCTCAGTTTTCTATGTTTGTATCAGTTCCGATGTTTTTGTTATTTCCGCATCTTTCGGTTACGCGTCCTTCTGTACCCCGTTGTTGAAACTGACTGTATACTGGATTACCCGTCTGCCTAATCCGCACTATAATTCATATTTCAGGTTCATATTTATTACCAGTGATATTTTGTGTCATTTAATTTTCAAACTCACGTTCTTCCATATCTTGGCATCAAAAAATAAATACATACCTTGCTTTCCTATTAGAAGAGTAATTTTTTGCTATCTTGCAATCCATGATCTCTTCCAAATTGAGTGCACATATTGGTGGTTGGGTGACTACAGCGTCCTTTGTCCTCATCTGCAATGATCTGGTCGACAGAAAGCTAACCTCAATGTATGCTAAAGAATGACACAAAAAGTAAGTGTTAAAAAGTTTATCATTGCTCAGTACGTTCCATGGAGGTTGGATTCGGAAATAGGTATTTGGTATTCCGATCGTGGTTGTGCTGTCATGTCTCAATAGATGGGAATTCCTCGGTAACTTAGTTTCGATACCCGTACGTACGTCATGGGCAGACCAGGGATATGGGCAGCAGAACGAAGTCCAATGAAGTAGCAGTGTTTATCGATCATGCTATAAATCGTAGTTCTAAAATCATACGGTGTTAAAAAATCCGAAAAAGTAACTTAGAGTAGGTGAGCAACGAAATTACAGGGCAGCAATAACAGTCCGTGACGCAATGGTAGAACAAAGGTCTACTCGGCAGACAGCTAAGCCTAACGATAGCACTGCAGTGATGTTCAAATTTGGAAAGGTTGCGGTACGATATGAAGAGGGTTAAGAATAAACTTTGGTTCCGGAATAAAATGACAGAGAAGGAAAGTACAATGGATTTAGAATCAGTGTAGTAAATACAATCAAATGGAAACGCGATGCCGCAAAAGCAGTAATAATCAGAAGTTTACTTTTGTGTAGGGGAAGCAGTGAAATAAAGAATAAGCAACTCCACGGAAATCCCATGTAGTGTAGGGGACGCATAAAAATCGGAATTTTAACCATTGGGACAATAAAACACCAAATGTTTCTAATAAGTAACCTAGTAAGTTAGTTAGATTTCAAATCGCGGGCACTCCCGCCAGGTTATATAAACAATCATACTATGTGATTTTGTGTGCACCTGAAATTCTGTGAATGTGTGGTAATCTTGTAGTCCTTGCGAAGCGGTTTCGTCCTATCGCGTTGATCTCAGCTGCTCTAAAGTTAACTGAAAGAGCCATCCTGAGTCGGTTGCAATCAGACACCACAATTCCCCATGACCCCCTTCAGTTTGCATATAAAACAAACAAATCTACATAGGACGCTGTATCCACTCTAGTGCATTTTATCAGCGAGTGATTGAACCACTCGGTCAAGTCTGCCCGTTGTGTTTTTCTTGACTATTCGTCTGCGTTTGATTCTGTTTCCCGATCATCTCTTCTTTTGGCGCTCCAAAACAGTTGCTCTCATGGCTTGCCGACTATTTTACACAGAGGGTCCAGTGCACCAAATTAGGAAGGAAGAAATCAAAACCCCTTGTTAATAATTCTGGTCTTCTTCAAGGTGCTGTTCTGTCTCCATATCTTTTTTCCGCCTTTATTAGTAATCTTTTGGTCCCACTCCCTGCGCACATCCAAAAGTATGCTGATGA